TATCTAGAAGAACTCTAAGGTATTCACAACAACAACAACAACAACAACCCATGTGAATCCCACAACACTAGGGTCTGGGGAGGGTGTGTGTACGCAGACCTTGCCCCTACTCGGAAGTAGGGAGGCTGTTTCCAAGAGACCCTCGGCTCCACTTGCACAAAAATATGGAAGGGAACACAGTATAACACAGATAAAGTACCAAGTACAAGCAACACGTACAAGCAATAGCAGAAGATTCCTAATAAATACAACACACCACAAAACAACCTCTACAACACCGAGCTCCTATCCAGCTACTCTAATCCTAGTTTTCCAAAGGTTCCTATCTAGGGCCATATCCTCAGTTAGGTCGAGAAGTCCTAAATCCTGCCTAATCACCTCCTTCCAATTCTTCCTAGGTCTACCCCTTCCCCTACTTCCCCCGATAACCGTAATCCTCTCGCATCTCCGTACAGGGGCGCTAGCATCCCTCCGTCTCACATGGCCAAACCATCTCAACCTTGCTTCCCGCAACTTATCTTCCACTGGTGCCATGCCTACCTGACGTCGGATAACTTCGTTCGAAATCCTATCAAACCTTGTCTTCCCACACATCCATCATAACATCCGCATCTCCGTCGCATGCAGACGACGCACATGAGTCTTCTTAACCGCCCAACACTCTGCTCCATCGTAACATTTAGAGAATTGATGTTAAGGCTATCTAGAAGACCTCTAGAATAGATCTCATATTAGTATGGATTTGTGAAACATGAATATTTGATGAATTAGATAAAAATGCATAAACGAGATTCGTAGACCAAGCTAGAGGATTACTCGTTTGGAAGTGCCCGATCCAATGTTGATCAATCGCTATATTGTTGTTGCCTTAACTGACTACAGTTAAGTGTCCGAAATCATTTGCCTTAAACTAATGATAGTTTAAGTGTCTGATTGCCTTAATCGACTACAGTTAAGTGTCCGAAATCAATTGCCTTAAATATATGATAGTTTAAGTGTCTGATCAATAATTGACTTAAAAGAATCTGGTTATGGAAGTTATTATTTGGCCTTAGACAAAGAATAGCTAAGAGCATTATTAATATTTTGCCTTAGACTAAGAATAGCTAAGAGCATTATTATGATCTGGCCTTAGACTAAGAATAGCTAAGAGTGTTGTTATGATCTGGCCTTAGATTAAGAATAATTTAAGAGCACTATTGAAATAGTATCTGAATTGAATAAAATGTGTTGATATGAACTGAATAATATCAAAACTGTGAATGTCTGAAATGAACATTGTGTGCATGATATCAAAAGATTTGATTATGAATTTAGATTCAGTTTATATGGATGTTCGACGCATTAGATATGCATACTCAGCTTTACCGCTGAGCGTGTAGTGTGTTTTATTTGGTACACGCAGGTAAACAGAACGATTAATGTGATCCTGGCGGCAGATGGGGCGAGATTGTCGGGATGGATGTGACAAGTTTGAAATGATTTATGATATGTCAAAATTAAATTCGCTTCCGCAATATTGTTGAATACTCCGTACTGTATGTGTTATCAAAAATATTATTGTGATAAATAAAAGTGTTTGAAAAGTTTTAAATTTTTAAGATTACCAAGTTAAATACTTTAGTCCCAAAGGGGCTGCAGACCTGGACGGATTAGGGTGTTACAGAAGAAGAACCCATGATCGCTTTACTCTCAAACGGTTAAGTTTGGACACGAGTTAGGCTCTGATACCAATTGTTAGAATAATAGACCAACACTAGAGGGGGGGTGAATAGAGTTTGATCAAGAAATCACAGGAAAAAAAACTTTAAAGGAGAAGTAAAGAGAAGAGTAAGAGGCACACCGAATTTACCCTGGTTCACCACAACTTGTGGCTAATCCAGCCTCCAGAGAGACTCTCTCGAGCTACACTACTATCTCGTTAAGATTAACGGTGCTTAACAAACCCTTACAACTTGAGAATTCGAGTCACACGAACCTCAACGAAATCTTCGAAGGAAACAGCCCTTCCTTCAAATCAAACGAGAGAAATACTTTCTCTCAACGTGTCTTAGAACACAAATACACTCAAGAACGAGACTCTCTTTTAGAGTAGATATTAAGTAAAATAAGTACGCTCAAGAACAACTAAAACTTCACACAAATTGGCTCTAAAAAGCTATGGAAAAAGATGTTGTTTGAATGCAATGAAAGTAGGAGAATTGTGAAGTGAATTGATGAGAAAGGCAGACCCAAACATTCCTTTTTATAGTGCCAAAATAGGCTCCAACGGACCAATACATTAAAGGGGTGATTGGCTTGATTTATGGGATTGAATAAATTGTGGATCTGCAGGATATTGGCTTCCCAGGGATGTATGGTGTCTACCCATCGCTGGTAGGCCAATTTTCCTTCAGTTTTGAAGCCAATGGTCACCTACCCATCGATGGGTACAAGCTTCCCATCGCTGGGTGGGAGGTTGACTTCCAAACAAGGAAAGAATAAACCTTAAATGACTTCCAACGGTCATGCCTCCCCATCAATGGTTATGCCTTCCCATCGCTGGGTTCCCATCGATGGGTAAACGTCCCCATCGCTGGGTAAGGTCGTTCTGCCTTGTGTTGATGTTGGACCAAGGCTTTAACAACGATGGGTAGAACTTCCCATCGCTGTTTGGCATGGTTCTGGAACCTGGTTGGGCTAGAGGATCGCTTACCCATCGATGGGTAGTTCCTCCCATCGCTGGGTGGATGGTTAGTCAAAAACCCATGGTTTATGCCTGAACCACGGCCTAGCCAACCGATGTAAAAACCGACCGAAAAATTCAAAGTTCTCCAAAATAAAAACCAAGTGTTTAAAACACTCATTTGATGTATTTGGCTAAGAAATCAAGTGAGACACTTTAAAAACCACGTCATTTGGGTAAAAAGCTAGCCAAGTTTATGCCGTTTTACGTGGTTTTTCCCAAACGACCAAAAACGTAAGGTGGTTTTCAAGGTGTTTTTGTTGGAGAACTGTTTAAACATGCCAGAAAGTAAAAACCAATCATAAAATGTTGAAAACCACTTAGTTGGTTCGGACGCCAAAAACCAACACCGATAACCGAATGCCGAACGCCGGTTTCTGAAAGCCGAATGCCGGTTTCTGAAAGCCGAACTCCGGATGGCCTAGTTTTTGGTTTGGGCGAACACCAAGTGTTTTTAATGACTTAAACATGTTTGAAAAACATTTTTATGATGTAAGAAATGCAATGAAAATATTTTAGCCTAAAGAGCCAAGGTGTAAAGATTGGGTCGGTCTTGATCACAATAAAGACCGACTCAACGATACTAAGACTATGGTCTTCGTTCTTGGTCTTCGTTTAGCTCTTGTTATTATCTTCATTTTTCGCCTTGTATATTCAATTTGTGTCTTGATCACGGCGGTTTGGCATTATCAAAACTTGTCACAAAAACGAACACGGCTTTAGTACGAAAATGTGACAAGCACGTGTTTCAAAAGGTACCTCCTACCGTAACCCACATGTAGGCACCGACCGTAAAAATGAAGATTAACTCCTTCTGCACTATGGCGGTAACTCCTACCGTGACCACACACACAGGTACCGACCGTTAAGGTAGAGAAACAGCCTAAACACTATTGTAACAGTACCCTATTCCATTTGAACGGTACCCCCTACTGCTACCTGGGGCGGACCCACGTTGAGTCATACAGGGTCAAGCGACCCCACGAAGATTTTAAATTTTTTTACCTATATATATAAATTTTTAGTAGTATTTGTATAATTAGTATATAATTTACAAAACGCTAAATGAAACAACGTGGACATGTTGAGGGAGTGGAAAGCTCCGCGTTTGACTTGCATGGACGACCCAGGTTCGATCCCCCTAGTGTAGGTTATTTTTTCCTAAACTCAAACCCAATCTTCATTTTCGCCCCTTTGCTGTTTTTTTTGACATAATTCGTTGCTTTAATTTTCTATTTTTTTTGACATAATTTAATCTAAACTAAATATTTCTTTTTATATTTGTGAATTGTGAATATTACAATTTATTCTTATGAATTTGTTATTGTGAATATCGAATTGAATTTGCTATTTTATTTTGTAAGATTGTGATTTGTAAATATGTCAAAATAATTAGATTATTTTTTAAGTTTATAATGTTTTTAATTATTTAAATTTCAATATAGGATACAAAGGTGTATTTAAAAGGCACCAATTTTTTAAAAAGGAACCAAATTTATAATTTTTGTAATATATGTAAACTTTAATGTTATATATTCTGAAGTACTGTTTACTTAATGTTAGAAGCGTGACAATAGGATAGAAATTACTTGGGGTATTTAGAGCATTCACAATGGCAAGGCAATCCTTGCCTAGCAATGTCAGCAAATGCCACACAAATCATGGCATTTCATGGTCATTCTACACCACTTTTCATTCCTAGTGCAAGGCATGACTCCCTCATTTTTTATTTTTTTAATATTTTTAATATTTTTAATTTTTGAAAAAAATATTTTTTAAAGAAGTAGACATATTTTAATAGTAAAATAAATGTGTAAAATGATTTTTGATAATTAAAAATCATTTAAAAGTACAAACATAGACAAAGACAATGACTTGCCATTATGTTACGAAACTCCACTCATTTACTCATTTTTAGAAAAAATATATGAGTGAGATTAATTATCTTTTTTTTCTAATAAATATAACTTTAACTTTTGAATGCTTTATCCATTTCATTTAAAAATCTATAGTAAAATTTATGTTTATGGAGTGTTTCGATTTTCTTAAGTACTTCAAAAATTGTGTACCTCCTTTCGTATTAAACTATTTGTAACACCCCAACCCGCACAACCCGAACCAATCGAGTTAGCGAGCCGGGTTGTCACTAATTTGGTATTCACATGCACAATAATTTAAAAACATTTGGGAAATAAAACAAACATTCATATTTATTGGAAACAATTTATAGTTTAATCGGAGTAAAGAACTGAAACGTTGCGGAAGCCTTTAAAAAACAACATTCAACATTCTGGTAATTTAAATAACCAAATCCTACAAACTTATTTAATTTAAATAAAACAGATTCGGTCATCCACGAGGGTCACGCTTCACTGTCCTCCAAGCTGCTCCTCATCAAACCATTGATCCCTACCTGTAAAAAAAGGGAGAGTGGAAGTACCTAATGCTAAAAGTAACTCATAGACTAGTACTCATTAATACATAGTTGATGGATATCGGGTCTGGTAGACCCTACTCCAGGCTCAAATAAAGGCCTGTAATAACCCAAAAGGTGTAAGGACAGATGGAGATAATGGGCCGAGCCCATTAGTGCGCATATGGCAGCTAGAGAAAGATGGCCCAGTCATGGGATCAATAAAGGTGACCCAGTCCGAGAAGGGAGTGGGACACGTGGCCCACGTCATTGGGTCATAGACAGAGTGGGAAGAGAACGAGATCAGAAAAAAGGGAATCACGACCCCACGATCTCCATAATCCTTTCCATTTTGTATAATTTTAATTATATTATTAGAGATACTATAAAAAGGGGGGGAACCCGCCATTGTAAAGAGAGAGACAATTGACTACTCAATAAAAGAATATTATCGAGTGGTTATATCTTCTTGATTCATATTACGTTCTTGGTCCTCCATCTGATCGGGTTAATCCCATCATTGGTGCTTTCATTGAGATAAATACTGTGAGATAAGGCTGTGAGATTATGGCTGGACGAAGGACGAGACGTAACCCTGCTGCTTCCGCCCAGTCGACGGTGAGGAGTGACAACCCTGAACAGGGTATGACCGTTCCTGTCAATGGGTTGGAAACGGAACTAAATAATGTGGCTAACATGATGGCCAACATTATGGAGCGATTGGATAAGGCTCTTCCAGGTCCATCCGGTACCCGGGACATCCCTGCCAGGCAACCCCGCCAGGTCCTGCGTACTGCGAGTTCTCCTATCCTCCAAGAGCTCCATGATCCGGAGGAGGTTGAAAGGGAGAGGCAAGCCATTGACAGACGCCGGGCGGAGGAATTGACCCGGAATAACAAGGTGAATGAAGGCCGGGCTAAGGATGCAAGCCGGATCTTCGGCGATGGGAACGAGAACCTGCGGGCATCTGTCTTTGAAAGGATATCTCGCCAGAAAGCTCACGTTAGTGAGAGGCTGAGGAAGAACCCGGAAAAGGCACCCCAGGGTTGGATACGACCCCAGGTCAGCCAGGTGGCATCTTCCAATCGCGAACCCCGGTAGCGAAACGGCCGTGGCGCGAGCCAAGTGCTGGTCCGGTCATTGAGGAATCTGGAGGAGGACGAGGTTCAAAGCCAAGCCAGGGTCCCAGCACCATGGCGTCTGGGGCCGCCGGTTCCGGAAGCTGGTGAATTCCAAGATCTGAGGCAGCAGATCCAGGAAATGCAGAGGAAGATAAACAAGGGTCGAGTATTCACTACCCGTACGAATACTCCCTTAGCCCCGGAGATCTTTGCGGAACCATATCCGCAGGGATTCAAAATTCCGTTTGTTAAGCGTTATGATGGGGAGTCAGACCCCCAGGAACACATAAACAATTATGTCCAAGTGATGATTGCCGTAGACGCTAGTGACGCACTCATGTGCCGGTGCTTCTTGCAGACAGTTGACAGCAAGGTCGCGGATTGGGTCAACCATATCCCTGCCGGATCGATCCGGACATGGGATGAATTGGGACTACGGTTCTTAGAGCATTTCGCCGGGAACTGCCGTCCCAAAAAGCATTTTACTCACTTGGCTTCGGTGCGACAGAAGCATGGAGAATCCTTGAAGAATTTCCTTATCCGATGGAGGAAAGAGTCCAGGGAGGTTGAAGGAACCGATGATAATTCCAGGTTGGCTATGTTCACAGCGGCATTACAGGATGGACTCCTTCACACCGATCTTACTACTCATCCCCCGGATACCTTCGAAGAAGCAATGGTCCGGGCGGGGAGGTATGTGACCCTGGAAGAAAGAAAGGAGGAGAAGAAAGAGAAGACTCCTAAAGAAGAAGAGAAGACGGGAAATAAGAAGCTGTTCAAGAATAAGAAGCAGGGCTTCCCGGATGGCCCAAAGGGCGCAAGTCCTGGGACCTCGGAGAAGCATAAATCTGCCAATCCAGTCTTCACATTGCCAGTGGCCGAGGTCATGGCCCACGCTGCACAGCAAGGACTTATGACTTACCCAACCAACTCTCAGAAGGTCTGCAATGTGGAAGACACTGGAAAATGGTGCGCTTACCATCGCAAGAATGATCACAACACGGAAGACTGCTATACTCTGAAGAATGAGATGGCGAGGCTAATCCGCCAGGGTCATCTAAAGAAATTCGTGCAAGATGGTAATGCGGGAAATCCCGGGAATGCTCAGAATGGAAAGCGCAGAGATAAAGAAGTGGCCCAGGCTGAGGCCCGGGAGAAACGCCACATTGGGCTTGAAGACGAAGAGGACGATTCGGAACCCACACCGCATCGCCAGAAGAGACACCACCGGTGTAACTTCATCATTGGAGGGAATACTGGCGGAGACTCAGCCACAAGCCGGAAGAAGTGGGCTAACGCGGCGATGGTCAACAAGGTGCTGGTCCTAGATGGTAAGAAGCTGAAAACCGAGCCAATTGTATTTTGTAATGCTGATCTCCCAGAAACAGGGGTCCACCATAGGGATGCCCTAGTGATTACTATTGATATAATGGACTTACTGATCCACAAAACCCTTGTGGATACGGGAAGCTCCGTTAATATCATGTATATGGATACGTACAAGGCTCTTGGTTTGACAAGGGATGAATTATCACCCATCAAGACTCCACTGACCGGGTTCACCGGTGACTCTATTGACCGGAGGGGGTGATAACCCTCCCGGTTGAGATAGGGGATACTAAGGCTACCCGGAAGTTGGACATGGAGTTTGTTGTGGTGGGGATAATCTCCAACACAAATATTATCCTGGGCAGACCCGGATTGGAAGATTTGGACTGTGTCATCTTGTAACGCCCCAAAACATACCCTAAAATTTTTAATGAATAAATATTCAATTAGTCAAATTTGTTTCGATTAAAATAAATAGTTATTGGGCTTTGGTCCGAAATGAAATGTGTTTTGACATCCAATATCACAAATCAGGATAAGTCTCATAGAGATAAATCCAATATGTTGAGTATTTGTGTGGTCTTGATTGAGAACATGAGTAGAGACCCAAATCAAGAATAAATAAAGAAATTATTTATAATATGAACTTTAAAATGATTTATTGAAATAAATCATGAGAACAAATGATATGAATTAAATGAGAGAACCTTTTATGAGAAAGGTCAATTAAACCAATTTTTACTCTGTTAAACTCAAACACCCAAAAATGTGGTGTCGGAAAAAGTATAACGAATGAATATAAAAATTATATCGTTGGATAGAGTTCAACTGTCTGATCGCAACGGTGCAAATGGATTTAAATTCGGAGAAAGTTAGACCAAAAAGAGTACCCCGACTGGGACCGAAATTAGTCCCAATCAGGGAAGAATCGTGTAAATATCCGATCGGTGCAGCCTCCTCCACTACGCGACTTTCATACGCAGAAATGAGTCAGCCAGTGTCCTCTTCCCCTTCTCTTCTTCTATATAAGGATACTCCATCCTTACCAATTTTGCACCAATCTTCTGGAAAATTATACCATTGTAGTCATAAGAGTGAAGGGAGAAGTCTGGTGTTGTTAGTTGCCGCCGAAGTCGCCGGAGTGGGGAGTAATCATCGCCGGAAGTTTCGCCGGAAAATTCTCAAAACCTTCGATAAGCTTCGAGGTAAGCCCGTAGATATATCTAGTGACTAGAATGTTCATATAGGTTGTTTTTACGTTCATATAGGTTCATTTTATTGAGTTTTGTGTTCGACGTGTTTCAAAAACCAAGAATCATAAACATTGAATTTGATATTAAAAATATATTTTGATGATCCTAAAATGATCTATGAACCTTGGAGAACATTTCTACATAATTTAATTGAAGTTTGGTGTTTTAAAACCATAATACTCGAAACTGACCCGAGGAAGAAGATGATGAACAGTAGCCGAAAATCGATTATTTACTTACTAAAAATCGATTAGAATTTTATTAAGACCAGTGGTTCGAAGTCAGTACCATTTAATCGATTATTATGAATTAATTGATTATTTATATTGTAAAAATCGATTATTATGAATTAATTGATTATTTAAATTGTAAAAATCGATTATTATGAATTAATTGATTATTTAAATTGTAAAAATCGATTATTATGAATTAATGGATTATTTAAATTGTAAAAATCGATTTTTTATGAATTAATCCATTATTCATATTGTAAAAATCGATTAAAATTAATTAATTGATTATTTAAATTGTAAAAATCGATTATTATGAATTAATGGATTATTTAAATTGTAAAAATCGATTTTTTATGAATTAATCGATTATTTATATTGTAAAAATCGATTAAAATTAATTAATTGATTATTTAAATTGTAAAAATCAATTATAATGAATTAATTGATTATTTAAATGGTAAAAATAGATTATTATGAATTAATGGATTATTTAAAATTATATAAATCAATTTTTATAAATTAAATGATTATTTTAAATTATTTTCCTCAATTCTAGATCCTGTTCTGAAAATATTATTGAAAATATGCTCTAAAATCCTATTCTGTTACCAAATAATTATAAACCATAAAAATATGATTTTGTACAATAAATATGATGTTTGTGACAAATAAACATTATGTGATGCATGACGGTAAGTTCGGGTGTTAACACTCGAGACTAGGCCGCTATTTGTTATTATGCATTATGACAATTGTTTGATTATTGATTATAATGAATTAATGATGATGAACGTTTTGAATGAGGATCATGAATTGTTAAAGTGAAAATAATGAATTAATGAATCGTATTGTTAAGGATATCTAGAACAACTCTAAGATATACCCACTTGTATATTGATGATGATTATTAAGGATATCTAGAAGAACTCTAAGATATACCTACTTGACCAATTCATATTTCGGGTTAAAACGTACGTACGGGATCCAGACCGGATATCACCCACCCGACAAATCATTGTTCGGTTGGTACGTAATCCACATGACNCATATATTGTGTGCATGATATCAAATGGTTGATTATGAATTGAGATTCAATTTATTTGGATGTTCGATGCTTTAGATATGCTTACTCAGCTTCACCGCTGAGCGTGTAGTGTGTTTTATTTGCTACACGCAGGTAGGTAGAATGAATGATTGGCTGATTCCTGGCAGCAGAAGGGGCGAGACAGTCGTGGTGGATCATTGAACAAAATAAATAATTATGTTGTTATGAAACATGTTAAAAGTCGCTTCCGCATTATTATTAAACACTCCGCATTTTCTACAATTATGTATGGAATATTATTTATAAATAAAAATGTTTGAAATGTTTTAAATTATCACGATTACCAAATCAATACTTTAGTCCGAAAGGGGCTGCAGACCTGGACGGATTAGGGTGTTACAATTTGGTATCGGAGCAAATGGTTTTAAAACCGATCTTCGGATCAAAAATTTGAATTAAAAAAAAAATATTGTCAATCACATCCACGACTCTCGCATCCCTCTGCTCCAGGAAAAAGGTATGAGAATTTACTTGGTAAATAATGACTCTATTAGAATTCTCATTAAATAACAATTGATTAGTACTGAAATTATATCGAGCATAGACTCAAGTCGAGTTTTCGTATTCGGTAAAGAAACAAAAGAATAAAAAAATGTATAAACCTCGTACGCATCGCATCGTGAATGACGAAGTTGATCTGTACCAGAAAAGTCGCACGAAAGTGAGATGAACCTGAAGAACGATTCGTGTTGATATATGTTGAGAAACATCTGTGAAGCTGATGTCAAAGATCCTCATGTGGACTCAAGGCGATCTAATAGCTAATTCAAACATGAACGTTTAGAATCAATAAACTCTATTATCTAAAGTATCTGATACTATTGTTTGACTCATTAGGACGCATTATGCGATTCCTTAATGTGAATTGAAATCGTTCGTTAAGCGACAATTCTTTGTAAAACATCGTTGAAGTACCATACAAGGAAAATCAACATTATCCTTAGTATGCATTAACTGACTGAACGTCGTTGATGTTGTCAACTTGTGATGAAGAATTCCTCAACTGAAGACCAATGATGGTAACCTTATAGAGGTAAAAGCAAAGCTGATTTCTAAACCGACCAAGTTCATCTCGAATATATATACGAAAACATCTCAAGTGTGAAGTCTATTCGTGCGATACCCAAAAAGAAACATCTAAGCTGAAGGAACGTACCGAAAGTATGTCACCCCTCTGATATGAACTTCCTTATATTTCACCGTTCCAAGAAATTGAAAACTCTGTCAATCTTGATTCTATAAAGGACCAATATTCGTAACTCCGTATTTAATGTGTTTTCGTCAAAACTGAAAAAAAAACTCAATTATGAAGATTGCCTGACAAAGAATCATCTGTTAAAGTGTTTCCTCCTTAGGAGAATACATGTTTTGTTTATACACGAATCAATGAGACTCTATATCAACTACTATCAGTTGAACAAATCGTTATCCTTTAATTCGTATCATGACTTATTTGATCAGCTTAGAGGATCCATTGTATTCTCTAAGATTGACTTACGGTCAAGATACTATCACATCCCTGTTAAGAATGATGAACGAACTGACGATCGGAAACTGCTACCCTTTACTACGTATAGATGATTTGTTCGAAGAACCTGTTTGTTAAAAGCTATAGACATCTGGAACATGTTGAATGAACTGATGCCTTGCTATGAAGCGACTAATGATTTAGTTGTTTATCGTCAAAAACGTCGAGGTAGTCTGAGTTGACTAAGTGAAACATAGGGATGCTGACTAGACAAATCAATTGACTCGTTTGACGTGAATAAATGACGCCAACAGTGAAAGACTGAAGAATGAAGCAAATGTAGCTCGCATATGACTAACCATTGATGTTTATGGATAATATTATTTAAACACAAATACAACTTGGATTACGTGTAGAAAGTTATAAATGCAATTCCAAGTTTAGTCTTCCGGGATTCGCGAACTCATCGTAACTAACCCCAGGTTCCGGGAACGCTTTAGCAAACTCTAGTTTGTCTAAAAGCTCATCAACAAAGAATGAAGAAATAAAAAGTTTCCTTTGATTCAAAGCCATGAAGTTCTGCCTCACCGCATCATCTAGAAATTTGAGTAGGTTATTGAAATAACCGTCAATGTTCAAGAGACCAATGGGTCTATTGTGTAACCCTTCAGAAGCCCACGAGATCAAGGTGAACAAACCTTCCATAGTGTCAACTCCTCCAGGAAGA